AGCCCACGTTCTTTTAAACCACTTTTGACCATTTGAATTCCCTTTGTGTGCGTTTCTTCTTCTCCAGTCTGCTCCAATCTCACTTCTCAATGTCGTCTTGAACAGTCTTTCTGCCTGTTGGTCCGTCATTACATCTTTCCGGAAGCACCTGCCGTTTCGATCCTTCCAAATCACCCAGAGCATTAACGCCCTCTCCACCTGGGCTATATAACCCCAACCCTCATTCCCTGTCAGATCCGCTGGCAGGAATCCCCCCAACACCCATCTTTCCCCCCATTCGTCGTTCCTTCCCATGACTTCCTTCCAATGACACTGCCACCATTTCCACCATCTCTGGGAATACGGGCAGGACCACCATAGATGTCTCAGGTCTTCGAACGGCCAATTACACCTATCGCAGGTTCTTGCGACAGAGACCATTCCTTTTGCGTGTAGCCAGTTGGCTGTTGGCACCGCCAAATGCGACTGTAACCACAGCAACGACGCCCTTTTCTGTGATGGCATTGCTTTCAGCTGCGCCCACAGATCCTCCAACTCTTCCTTACCTGGTTGATCTAGTCCCGTCACCTGCTTCTCCCAGCGTCCTATCAACTTAGGTACCAGCAGCTGCCTACTCTTCCCCACTTCTCCTATTAGCTTCCTATTTAACGAACCTAGCCCCTTAATCTCCTGTTGTCCTATCTTCCACTGCCAGGCTTCAGGGTCGATTCTGAGCTTACTCAGACTTCTTCCATTCCCCACTAACTCTAGCCCTTCTCTGAGTGTCGTCTCCCCGTCTCTGCCGTGAGTAACTCTGCATTTCTCCAAGTCTGTGATTCCCAATCTTTCCACTGGGCCAAACCATTCCAGGTGTTTTGAGTCTGGTGTCTTCCTCTCGTACACCTCCAAGGCGCATCTCCCTGGTCTCTCTGGGATCCAGTTTACCATTCTGTAGAACCTATCTGGCTCTGGTCCTGTTGTTCGTAGCCAAGTTCCTTCAGGTGCCAGCTTCTCAGGACTGAGAATGAGCTTCCAGCTCTCCGGGATTGCTGTAATTATGCTTTCTGTTCTTTCCTTCTGCATCAAAAGTTGCCCCAATTTTCCTTTCACTTGGTCTTCGCTTTTCCATTGCCCCGTGTTCTCGCCCCATAGGTCCCCGACCTTAGATACTCCCCGTTGAATCCATCTAAATCCGAATTGCCCCGCACCTCTCCCAGTGGAAAAGGGGAGACCCTGAGGGCTTAGAATCGCTCGGTTCTCGAAGATGTGTTGTGAAAGGACTTGCTGCTTCGTAATTGGGGCAGTTTGGAATGTCGGCTTCAAACATCTCCATGCTTTTAGCACCTCCTTCCAAAATTTGGACTTTAGTCTCTTCGCCAAAAAACTGTCTGTCATTACAGCAACCCAGGTGTCTGCCGGTCTTTCCAGTCCCCATTCTGCCATAAGAATGTGTTCTGCCAGCTGGCACCAATCTGCTTCCTCGTCTGCTACAGTGGCCTTCAGGATCCATGAGCACAGCAATATGTCATTTTGAGTTGCTGGATCCGATATGCTGAGGCCTCCATCTTCTCTTGGTAGGCAGCATGTCTTCCATGCTACCTGTGTAATGTACCCTTCCTCTTGACTCGCCTTCAGTTTCCAGAGAAACTTCCTGGCTGCTTTTACCATTGTTCTGATTAAATCCTCTGGCAGTTTCCTTACTCTGGCCACGTACCATAATAGAGCGAAGGCTGAGCAATTGACTGTTACCGCTCTTCCAATCAAGGAGAGATGTCGGGCCTGCCCCCAGCTGTGTATCCTGGTTATGACCTTCTCTTGCAGGAGTGATCAGAGAAATAGAATGGGGTTTGGTGTCCTCTCTGATTGCTTGAGAAGTTGAGAAGACGTCTGACTCAGGCTAAAGAACAGGAAAAAGAGTTTGGTATGCCTTACCCTTGATACTGCTAATAGCGAGTGCCCACTTATTCAAACGTCGGATGATAGTATTTTGAGATCACCTTCAGAGGTGAAAAATGAGGTAACTTCCTTACTGTAAAAGTTCAGCGAAATTCAGACTTCAAGACAACAAGAAGTCAGAGTCAAATTGTTCATGAGAAAAACGGAGAAGGCTGATGGTCCTGATTGTTTATCACACTGAGGTAGGATAGTAGGGACAGGGGGTGCGCTGGGAGTATTAACGTGGGGATGGGTAGGGTAGGTGGCCTATCTTGTCTGGACAACCATTTGCTGCCGCTACTAGCAATCACTGCGGGTCTGGTCCTTGGCCTCTACAACACCCTGGCTTTAAAAAAAAAAAAAAAAAAAAAAAAAAAAAAAAAAAAAAAAAAAAAAAAAAAAAAAAAAAAAAAATCCAATCCTTCTTGTATTTTATTTGGTGGCCGAAACAGTGGTCTGGTTAACGAGGAACCTGCATCCCCAATATCAAGGTATTCAAGTACTTAGGCAAGAGACGCTTAAGGGTATGGAATGGATTGAGAAACCAAGAGAAGAACAAGATTCAAAAATCCAAAGAAAAGACGTCGCGCTTATACAAGATGTAAACGGTAGTATGAACTTTATCTGGAATAGTACGAGTAGAGAGAAAATGCAGTAGAGAGTGCAACTGTTAAGCTGGGGCAAAAATGAAACCACACATGGGGTAGAGGGCGATGGAACAGATACTAGTGCCTTACTTATAACTGGGGTGGTAGCTTCTCTAAGGGAATATGGAGAAGAGGAATCAGGGGCGCCGTAGTGCGCCCGATATTTCTTTTGATAGTCTTTCATCCTTATTGGGGATGGAGTTCTTTAGAAACACCCAGGGAATGAGTGTCTTGGGTGGGCCCTTGAGTGAGTCCCGTACCCATACCTCTCTACTTCCTCCTCCTCTGAGCTGAAGTGCCTCCTAGCACGTGGAGCGAGTTCCTCAGGGGCCTTACCTCCTCTTCCACCTCTCCCTCTCCCATGTCCACGACATGCCTCAGGCATGGTGCGATAAAAATCAAGAAAAAAAAGGGTGTGCCGCTATGGGGGTTGAGACTGACGGGATACTTCGAGAACAAGAGGAGCACGCTACTAAAGAAGAGAAAGGGGAACGGTGGCACCGTGCGATGCGGTAAGAACAAACTATGTCTAGCCCAAGGTTGCGGTGAAAGTTCTACTACGGACTTCTGCAGTAGTGAATGAGTGAATACTCGACTTTCCCTATTTATATTGTTTGCCTACTTCGCCTTGGGCCTAGCGGGTACGCTAGGCGGGGTTACGATCACCTTCCCCGGGGGTCTTGCAGGAGGAGGTTGGCCATCGTGCTACTCCCGCGGACAGGGAGGGGCCAGCTCGAGCAGAGCAGGAGGTCACGGTACTGGCAGCGGCGGATGGGGAGGTAGCAGCAACGGAGGAGGAGGTACCAGCAGTGGCAACGGGGAGGAGGAGGTGCTAGCTGGAGCAGCAGTGAAGGGGGAGATAGCATCTGCAGTGGAGGGGGAGATAGCAGCTGCAGTGGAGGGGGAGGAGGAGGTAGCGCCAACGGCGGTGGTCTCAGACGTTGATATGGAGAATGATGGTGCAGACGCCACAAGGGGCAGTGACGACACCGAGGAGCACCTCATGCAGCAGTTTATTATGGAGGAGCTCAATCCGATGTCGCACTTTTCCTAGTCAAGCCACTTCGGGCGACCAGAAAGCCAACAGGCTGTCACGCAGGGTTTGGTTGATAATTGCAGTAAATAAAATAAATTAAATAGAGCAAATCCCTTCCTGTTGTATGCGTCCGACTTTGAGCGAGACCCTTCAATTGCGGTGTTCGTCGGTCCCCGATCTTAGGAATCTTTTATTTTGATTCGGAACAGCAAAGAACCATGCAAATAATAATCATAAAATTCTGATATGTCATGCATGCATCAATTTTGCCAATTTACAATTTTGAGAATTGTGACAAGATCATAAAAAATGCATAATCATCAGGCAGAGTCAATGCAAGAGAAGCATGACTTATTGACTCGAGAAATGACAAGATAAATGAGGGAAGAATGAGAACTCATAATAATCTCAGAGAGTACGAATAAGGAGAATGACATGCACTAATCAAAAGTCCTCACTCATCCCTCTTGGTCATTCGCTCAATTTCTCGTTTTGCTGCGATTTTCTTGTGCCTCGAACTATGTCTCCGTACTTCCTGAGGTTACCGGTCTCTAGATGTAGAGCTATCTGAACCCTGCGAGCTCCGAGCACTTCCAACCGAGTCCCGTGACACGAAACTCAACCATAGCACAAAACTCCTCCCATAGGGTAGGAAGATATGGCTGAGAGAAAATCCCTCGTCCGAGATGCTGAAACTCTGATGGTTCGGCCACCGCCTCATAATTAATCGTTGCAGGCGAAATGTACCTCTTGGCTAGATCCACCAGGTCACCCCAATTACAGGCCTCCGTGAGAGTGAAAGGTACTGAAGGCTTGAGATTA